CAAAGTATAAATTTCTCCAACCTAACTTACCCATCTTTAGCTGAAGCCTCTAGATGCGATTTATGGAGATAATAAAGTTGTTTTCCTAGTGGATGGAATTAAGATTCCAGATTTCCAGCAGGATCAAAACCTGCAGATTATCTCTGCAGATATATAAGAGATGTTGTTTCTTTTATAATATATATTTTGATATATACAAATCAAATAAAGAAATAATATTGTTTATCTACAAAAAAAAAAGAATTAAAATTTATTAAAAATTTTTTTATTAATAAAATAATTGAAAATAAAACCTTATAAGTAAAGTTAATTTATTATTAACTCTTAAATATTTATTTTAATCAATAAAAAAAAAGTTAACAAAAAATTAATTTAATTTTTTAAAAAAAAAACAGAAAAAAATTTTTTTTGTATAATTAATGAAATAATATTAAATTAATTTATTTTTATAAATTCTTATGATATTTTTATAATAATATTAAGTACATTTTTTATTATAGTTATTAAAAAAAATATAGTGTGAAACTTGAATTAAGTTCGAATGCAACATACAGTATATTTTACATATTAAGAAAAAAAAAAAACTTTATTTGATAAAGTTCTGTTCAATTTACTTCTTTTTGTATTACATGAACATAAAAATTTTACCAGTTTTTCATATCCTTTTATATTTGCTTTAAATATCATATCATCTAATGCCAGATTAAAAACCAGGTGCGTACGTATCGTACGTAGTTGTACAAGAATTTAGCCCTACTTTTTGTCTTATTCATAATACCAACGCATGGATTTTGAAGATGACAACAGAACTACAAACTCCAGCACAAGTTTCAGATCCTGCCTCTCAAATTTATAAGGCGACTTATTCGGGTGTTCCCGTTTGGGAGTTTCGGTTAGTGTTATGAAGATTTAGCATCAGTGCTATTTATGTGACTTTGATTTTATCTTAGTTGCATGCAAATCTACGACTACCATATTTTTAAATCTTTTTCTTTTTACATATTAAGGGTCCGAAGTGTTGCTGTTATGCGCAGGAAAACTGATTCATGGCTCAACGCTACACAGATTCTCAAAGTCGCTGAATTTGATAAACCACATAGAACAAGAATCTTGGAGCGCGAAGTACAAAAAGGTGAACACGAAAAAGTTCAAGGTGGTTATGGAAAATATCAAGGTATACTATTTAATATCACATACTTTATAGTAAGTCAAGAATAACTCCAATACTTGTAATAATAGTTTAGAGTGTTTATATTAAATGTCGCTAAATGTGAGATGATTATTCTAGTGACATTCCCAAAATATAAACTAATCGCAAATTTTGCGCATCTATCCATTAGGAACGTGGGTACCATATCAAACAGGTGTTGATTTAGCGGAAAGGTATCATGTTAAAGAACTGTTACAACCAATAATAGAATTTGAGCCTTCATCAGAGAGTCCTCCTCTTGCACCTAAGCATGTTACCGCTGCTTCAAACAAACCACGCAAGCCGCGTGAACCTAAAGAGCCTAAAGCCATAAAGCCAAGGATTCCAAAAAAAGCTAAGAAAGTTGAGCCACAGAATGAGGAAATGTCTGTAGATACAGATCACGAAACTAATGATATAGCTAGTATTGTATCTTCAAATGGATCTATTTCTCCGATGTCCTCTTCGTCAACATCACCCGCACCAATAGAATCGTCTAATGACTTGTCAGAGTCAGACGAGGCTAATACAGTTACAACAGTGCAAAAACAAAAGAGAAAGCGTAAACAAGCAGATTCTGGAGGTCGTGCAAATAAAGTCGCGAAAACTAACCCAAGTCAGTCTAATGCCACCGAATACGGCAGTCTTATGTTGACCTACTTTACAACGAATGCAGAATCAATTCCAGATTTTATTTTACATCCACCATCCGATTTTGATGCTAACATTATAATTGATCAACAAGGTCATACAGCATTACATTGGGCCGCTGCCATGGCGAATTCTGATATGGCTTCTTTGTTGGTTAAGGCTGGATCCGATCCAGACCGTGGAAATGTTCTCGGAGAAACTGCTCTTATGAGGAGTGTCATGTTTCATTATAATTATGAAAACAGAAGTTTTCACGATATGGTGCAACTTTTATTCAGGACTATTGGTAATCTTGACATTCGTGATCAAACAGTATTACATCATGTTGCAATATATGCTACTACTAAAGGTAGGGTCGGACCTTCAAAGTATTATATGGAAGTACTCCTCACGCAATTAGCGCAACATCCGAATGAAGAATATCGAAGAACCATTATTAATAAGCAGAACAACGAAGGTGATACCGCACTTAATATCTCCGCGAGATTTGCAAATAAAAGACTCGTGAAGCTTCTTGTTGACGCTGGAGGAGATCCCCAAATTCGAAATCTGCAAGGAAAGAATGCGGAAGACTATATTTTAGAATTAGATCATGAAGCCAGATTCCGAGCTGAACAACAAAATCGGTCGCAAGACCTACAAGTCACAAATGGAATCGAAAATAATGAAAATGGTACATCCTCCACTTCAGTAGTTGCTACCACGACTCCTAATCGAGCAGAATTTTTGATACAAGATATTAACGCAATATTGCAAGAATTTAAAAGTTCATATGATGATCAAATACAGGTCAAAGGCAAAGAATTAACATTAGCACAAACACAGCTAACATCTAGTCATGAAGAGCTCAAAAAAACAAATAGTTTAATCGAAGAATTGCGAGAGAAAACTCGAGCTGTACCGGCACGTAAAGAACGCATGAATGATTTAATCAATTTGGTAACAGATAAAATAGAGAATCGAAGAAACCGAAGATTAAATGCTTGTTTGAAAAATGAAATGAAAGAGGTTATATCAATTACAGAGGCAAATAAAGAAAAGTAAATATTGATTATTATTATTATTATTATTTTGAAATATGAATAACATTTATTTGTCTTGTCGAATTTATTCTATATTACATAGGGTTAGAGAGCTTAACCATAAATTGGGAGAACTTAAAGCTGAAAGGGTTCGGTTGCTTAGTACATTGATTGAAATAAAGAAAACCCCTGAGACAAAAATTATTCCTTATAAACGAGTAATTAGCATGTTTTCCGGGGTACCAACAAGCCAACCACAACAATACCCTTTGGAAACGATGGCAGATAACAATACGTTCATTACCAAGCTATAATATTGAATTATTTTTGTGTTTCCGTAGTAATAAAATATTTTGTACCTGGATTGTTAAATTTTGGATATTTTATTTATATACAACGTATAAAGTATATACTGTAATAATTTTTAATGTTGATACTGTTGTAATAATAATTAATAATAATTAATATTTATATTATACAGTATACAATAACTTATAACATAATAACATAATTTGAAAAAACAAATTAACAGCTATTATTTATATATATTATTTTGAAATATTTAATAATAAATTATTGTTAATATAATATTGATAAATAAATTCATATTATTATATATTTTTCAAAAAAAAAATACTTTATAATGTAATATAATTTTTTTTTTTACTCCAAATCAGGCTGCATAACATTTGTTTATTAATCCTATTGAAAAAAGCATATATACTGTATATATATATTAGAAAATACTATAATAAGACTAAACTTATTTATACTATACAGTCAAGGATTTTAATAATTTGATTTGATTTGATTCTTGATTCTCAAGTTTATATTAAATTTAATATGTGAATTATAATCCACCATTATTTTTAATAATGTTCCAAACCTTATATAAGTCTATATAAGTCAGTTTTATTTCAATTTTCAGAACCATATATACAGCATATCCATTATAAGTTTAAGGCCTTTAAATATAATTATAAAGAAATAAGAAATTTGGTTTGTTTTATTCTGAATTATTTTATTAATTTAAAATATTACAGTTAATTTTTTATTTAGAACCGTTACCCCTATTTAACTATTGTAATAAAAATATTTTTATTTTTTAAAAAAGAAAAGATAAGAAAAAGATTTATACTAATAAAACAAAAACTCTTTCTAAATAATTTCTAGTATAATTATTTGTAATTGGATATTTATTTAATTTTTACTATTTCATTATTGATCAAGAATATTTAAAAATATTTTTAAAAAAGTATTTTTTGAAACTTTATACTTAAAGACTTAATTTTTAGAAAAGATTAATATATTATTTGATAATTTTTTTTCAACCAATTCTTCAAAAATTTATAACTTTATTTAATTAGTAAATAATTTCAAAAAAAAAATTTTAATTATTTTAATAATATTTTTCATTAATTTTAAAGAAAAATAAAACCAGTTCAAGAAAAAAATGAAAAATACTAATTTACTTTTTTTATTAAAAAATACATCATATTATTTTGTTCTTTTTATTGCAACTAATTATATTATTAAGTAAAAGTTATATAAGATAGAATATATATAATTTTTTTAAAAAACTCTCTCCTGATCGTGTCCGTTTTGTTAAAAATTTTCCTTTTATGGTAATTTTAAGCAAGAAAAAATGTTTT